CTTGATGAAGGAGCTGCTGGAGACGCAGAACAAGCTGGACATAGCAGAGAAGAAATTCCAGAAGAAGATGGAAAAGGAAATGGAAAAGGATGAGATGGAAAACAAAAATGGAGAAACAGGTGGCAAAGAAGATGTTAAAGCATAAGATAAACATAAGTATACGTTCTAAAAAAACTATATTTAAAGAAATTATTGGAAATTTTATACATATATTTGTTTCTCAGCTGCTACATGGAAACTTGCACAAGCGCGTGCCTTTTATATTCAAATATACATATGAAGCATGGCTTGGTCCAGCTTTAACACCAAATAATGCTTATAATAACGCCGCATTGATGGCCATTCGTGCCTCAAAGTTGTCCACACAGCTGAGCACCAGATCCACCGGCTGGCCAGCGATCCGTCCGCCCTGCGATATAGCGTTCAGGAAGCGATCAAAGTTATCCACCGTTGTGATGTTAAAGTTATACATCTCAATCTCCACATCCGGATTGATGAAGTTCAGCGTGGCGCCTGCAGCCGCAACTTTGGAAAGGCCCGCCTGATTGGGAGTGAAGAACAGACGATTCATGTTGGCCAGCTCCACTTTGTCGTAGTCGAAGAGAATCAGTTTGCCAATGCCGCAGCTGCAAGAAATCAACGCATTAATTCCATATTTATTTATTAGAAGCTAACTTAAAGTATAAAACTATAGGGTATCTGAGAACTGAAAGCATTAGCAGTCAAGGATTTGCGTTATCAGATTTCACAGAAAAATAATATTTTTGCATTTTTGTAGATAAAATCTGGATGCTACATCTTAATCCCTTCTGTGATTGAAAATCATCACTTTGATATTTTGGGATATGCAGTGGATATGCGTTATGTTTGCATTGCTCGTGTAGGGTACATATATTTTGGTCAAGACGACGGCATCCCAGGAATGCGGAGCACCAGAAATAAACCAAGTGCAAAAACCTTTAGCATCCGTCTATTAATAATGTTGTTGTCTCCGGATCTCCTTAATTTTTAAAGACTATTTTTGTTACCGAATTTACTAATACAAGCATTATTATATATTTGAAAGTTGGCGATTCATCATAGACTAATTGATTGTCCCTAAATATACATATGTAGACAATAAAACTTATAGGAATCTTATAAATGTATGTAAATCCCCAAGTTGGAGGCGGCTACCCTATTATGTTAAAAAAGGTATCGAGTACGTCGACTTGTCAGTTGAAAGTTGACGTTTGGAGGACCTCGTTGATGAACTTCCTTTTCACTTTTTGTCGTTCACCAGTTAACATCTTCGAAGCGGAAAAATTCTGACTTTGGAGAAAATTCTTTTTGCCGAATCATTTAGCTGGTCATAACCTCAAAGCGAAGCAAATTACTTTCATCATTACCAATTGCGAGAGATTAGCCATGAAATTCAAAATCCATCTGATCAATGGCAAGAACATTATCCGCGTGGAATGTCCTGGCTACGAGACCCAGCGTTTTGCTGTGCAAGTCCGCGGTGGTAAAATCACTCTGCTGAACGTCTTACCCAATCAAGGAGAAGGCTCCTCCGGGGGCAGCAGCGCTACTACGGCTGTCTCGAGTGCCAAGGGTCTGTCCAGGGTGAGGATAAAGATGATATTTGGCAAACCCTCGGTGCCGACTGCACCGTCATCGTCTCGACAGGCCGGGGAGGCCGTGGAGGCCGGGTTGTCATCCGAATGGGGCGACATCCCAGCAATGGGCGACTTGGGGCAGCAGCAGGAGGAAGAAGAACCGCCACTACCAGGTGGTAGCGAATTGGGAGCGATCATCAGGGCCCACCAGATGAGCAGTGCAACCTTGATGAACGAGCTGCTGGAGACGCAGAACAAGCTGGAAATAGTAGAGAAGAAATTCCAGAAGAAGATGGAAAAGGAAATGGAAAAGGATGAGATGGAAAAAAAGAAAATGGAGAAGCAGTTGGCAAAGAAGATGTTAAAGCATAAGGTAGCTAAGGAGAAGATGGCAAAGAAAATGGCAAAGCAGAAGATTGCTAAGGAGAAGATGGCAAGGAAGATGGCAAAGGAGAAGATGATAAAGCTGAAGATGGCAAAGGAAATGCTAGAAAATCAGAAGATGAAGAAAGAGAAGATGATAAAGCTGAGGATGATAAAGCTAAAGATTGAAAAGGAAACGATTGCAAAGGAAAATATGGAGAAAGAGAAGATGATAAAGATGAAGATGGCAAAGGAAAAGATGGAGAAAGAGGAGATGAAGAAGCTGAAGATGGCAAAGGAAAAGATGGAGAAACAGAAGATGACAAAGCAACTTCGGGGCATAATGAAGAAGATAATCAATAAGAAGAAACTAATGAAGTTGCAGGGGCGCAAGAAGAAGGCCTAAAGACTGGGTGCTTAAAACAAATTTCTTGTTACAATGGGCGGGTCACCATTCGTTTTGAATAAATAAAAGAGCATTCAAGTTAGTCCTATTTATTTATTTTCCCTTGCAGCCACAATGTTCAGAATCGAATCAACATTAAAAAATGAACACAAGTATATGTTTAAAATATATTTTTTTAAATATTTAAACGAGATTTGATCTTTGCAACCCCTAATTTTGATGTTTAACTTAATTGGAGAATTGGATATCGATGCAGAAGATTGCTAAGGAGACGATGGCAAAAAAGATGTTCGACATCGTTTTATTTAAATTCGATTTTATTATTTATGTCTACTAGATTAAGAACTGAAAATAATAGTATACGTTCTAAAAAAAACTATATTTAAACAAATTATTGGAAATTTTATACATATATTTGCTTCTCAGCTGCTACATGGAAACTTGCACAAGCGCGTGCCTTTTATATTTAAATATACATATGAAGCATGGCTTGGTCCAGCTATTACACCAAATAATGCTTAGCTTAAACAAAAAAAGTATGTGTTTTACACAAAGTCTCTATTAATAGAGTATGGAATCAATTCACATCGACTTCATTTGCGCCATCAGGTCTTCTAGACTGGCGTCGTCCGGAGGAGCAGTAGTTACAGTTTCTTCTGAAGTTTCGCTAGACTTTTCAGGAGCTTCGTAGGCGAGCTTTAGCCCTTCACCCACAACTGGGGTTTCGGTGGAAGTTGGATTAATTTCTGGCGCATTCTCGGCGACCAATTCGATGCCCCATTCGTTGGTGGCATGCAGCGGCTCTTCGTTGTCTGCCTTCTCTTCCACTACCACAGGTTTGGGCTTGGCTTGGAATTCCATTTGCCGAACTAGACAGTTACTGTCATCGCACTGCGGATTCGGCTTGAGCGTCATCTTTGGAAAGAAATCGCTGAGGGCATTGTAGCCCAGATAGTCGGAGACCTCGCCGAAGTTCAGCAGATACTTCAGAACGTTCTGGACGAGGAAACCAGCCGTAATGCCCATGGTTGTGGGCAGCGAGGCGGCGCACACGCCCTCCTTTTTTAGCGTCTTCTCGTCGATGTTTTCGGCGACCACCAAGGGAGGCGCACAAGCGAAACAGGCGGTATCGCCAGGACGGATAAACTGAATGTGCCCCGAGACGGCATTCTCCGAAACGCCCGACTCAAACCAGTTGAGATTCCGCTCATTGCACGCCGCATTGATGGCCATTCGTGCCTCAAAGTTGTCCACACAGCTGAGCACCAGATCCACCGGCTGGCCAGCGATCCGTCCGCCCTGCGATATAGCGTTCAGGAAGCGATCAAAGTTATCCACCGTTGTGATGTTAAAGTTAAACATCTCAATCTCCACATCCGGATTGATGAAGTTCAGCGTGGCGCCTGCAGCCGCAACTTTGGAAAGGCCCGCCTGATTGGGAGTGAAGAACAGACGATTCATGTTGGCCAGCTCCACTTTGTCGTAGTCGAAGAGAATCAGTTTGCCAATGCCGCAGCTGCAAGAAATCAACGCATTAATTCCATATTTATTTATTAGAAGCTAACTTAAAGTATAAAACTATAGGGTAACTGAGAGCATTAGCAGAATGTTTATGTTTTATGTTTATACGGACTTGTGTTTTGCTGTTGTGTGATGCGGTGTTGTAGGAGAAGTTTGGTGTGGTAGCTTGAAGAATGAGCTTGTACCAGGGAGTAATGTTATGTTATAAGATTAGAAATGCTTACAGTAATGCGGAATGGCTGTTGCACTTATACATATATTGAACACGCTTTTCTCGCCGTGTACGCACCGTGTTAGCATGTCAGCGGTGACGCTTCCCACGCCTCCCACGCCCACAATGGCCACCGCCTTGTCGCGAATGCGCTCGTAGTCCTTGACGATGTTCATCCGCTGCAGGGCCATCAGGCGACTGTACGGATTGGAGTCCACCACCTCGGCGGACATGCGCTCGACGCGATCGCGTCCCAGGCGGGTGTTGTTGACGCCGCCACTGTCTATCGGCTCCACCAGCTCCGTTCTCAGATTGCCGATGATCTCCTGCAATTCGTCTATGGCGTACGGCATAGTGGCGAGGGGTTCTTGCAGTTCCTGATTCGTATGTTTGGCACTGGACAGCAGCAATTGCTTATTGAAAACTACTTTCTTAACTTTCGCTTTCGATTTCGATGTCGCCGTGTCACTTTTGGCCAGAGCTGCCAGATGGGCAATTTGGATTCCAATCTTGTGAAGGCCGCAAGTCGGTAGATTAATGCCAAAACATACCAAATTGCCTCGCCTGTAAGTACAGTGTTGGTCAACGGCATGGCCTGGCATGGCGCAACAATTTGAATAACAAAAAACATAAAATAGCAGACGAGTAATAAAAGAAAACAAATACCTTTCATTTGCATTTGTGGTATCGAAACATTTGAAACAATTAGTTCTGTTCTTTTCCAGAAAAAAAGCCAGTTGTATAATTACACAAAAGATTTATTGTCAAAATCATTACACAAAAATAGGTATTATAATTATTAAATAACCAAAAAAAAAAGTAGTAGAACAATTAAAGGAAGATGACGATAGTTGTGGTTGCTTTTCGTGTTAAATGCGACAAAAAAATAATCATTATACTATTCAATAAATCGAGTGTGGGAGCACATTTATTATTTAATATTATCAATATTACTGTATAAACCGGTGACTATCACTTGCCAACAAGTGGAGATATATGTATGGATAAGTGTCCGTTCTGTGTAGCTTATTGTGTACGGTGTACGGTGTACGGTGTGCTGCTCCGCCTGCTCCACCTGGTCACCGGGTTCAACTGGTCCGCGGCTGCAGGCGCACGCGGAATCCCTCCTCCCGCTTCAGTATGATGTCCGCCTGCAGCTTAAAATCCGATTCGGTCAGGTCCGAGTAGACACGGTAGTTCCGCAAAATGGTCGACAGGAGGATCTTCAGCTTGAGCATCGCGTACTTGCGCCCTAGATAATAGATAAATATATAATCAATGATGCCATTTAATGGGATAAAACTCAAAGCAAAGTTCCCATCTTGACGCATATATGTGTATTATTTGGCTCAGTGTAAGATCTGTGACTCACCCACACAGCTGCGTGGTCCCGCAGAGAAGGGCACGAATGCATAGTAGTGGCGATTGGCCTGCCGTTCCGGCAGGAAGTTGTCCGGATCGAAGACGTTGGGATTGGCGTAGACCTTCGGATTGCGATGGAGCAGGACGGTGGCCACCGTCACCGTGGCGCCCCTGGGGATCACGTAGTTGCCCGAGTTCAGCTTGAGGTCCTCCTGCAGCTCGCGGGCGATCAGTGGAACGGGTGGGTACATGCGCAGCGTCTCCATCAGACACCGCTCCAGATACTTCATCTCCAGTGTGTCCTGCCATTGGGAGCGGGATAATACAATTTTAGGAGCGCAAGTACATCAAGAGCATATTGCAACACGTTGGGAATACGACTAATGGTAACTATGGTAACTATGTGGCTAGTTGCCCACCTGAAACGTGGCCGGTCGCTGTGAGTCGCCGAAAATGGAGTCGAGTTCGGCCAGCACGCGATCCTGGATGTCCTGGTGGATGCCCATCAGCGAGAGGAAGAACGAGGAGCCGGCTGCCGTGGTGTCGTGTCCTTCGAACATGATGGTGTCCACCTGCTCCTTGATCTCCGTGTCCGTTATCAGTGCCCCATTCTGGGCGCTTTCGAGCATCAGATCGAGGAATGCCAGCCGCTTCTTCTCGCCAATGTCGTTGTCCTCCACATCCAGGTCATCCTTGAGGCCAGCCGACTGGCCATAAGACAGTCCCGCCACCGGGGTGGCCTTCTCCTTCTCCTTATCCTTGTCCGTATCCTTCTTCCTGTCCTTGTCCTTGTCCTCGCTGCCTTGTTCCCGCTCCAAGGCGGCTGCCTTCAGTTCGCACTGGGCGAGGGAGCCACGGGTGCCCTGCTCGAAGGCCGCCTTCTTGCTGCGGATCACCTTGGTGGTCAGGCCGTGGATGATGTTCAGCAGGCGACCCTGCTCCTTGTAGTACCGCGTCAGGGTGAACACGAACTCGTTGCGCAGAAAGATGCTGCGGTGGCGGGCGTGCAGGATGTCGCACATCCGCATCACGGCCATCGCGTACTCGAATCCCGACTTGTCCTGCGTTTTCTTCGACACGCCCATCGCAGTCTCTGGAATGGCGAAAAGGAGCATCTGTACTTTTATCCGAGCAACGAGCCATTTCTACATTTTCATCACACTTTTCCTCTCAGTGCAGGGTCTCAGATCTGGATTTGAAGCACAGATTGCGATCGAGATCGGATGGGATGGGATGGGATCGGATGAGATGGATGGGCCCCCAGCACAAATGGGGGGAAGTGGAATGCACTCGCCTGACCCAAGCGCCAATTGAACTTAACAAACAGACAACAGGCGGCGGAGGCAGCGCCCGGATTCCCCGCCAGCTCACCATCCCGCCTGTCTAATTGTAGGTACAATGCATAAATAGATCTATAGATGACAGCATAAACGAGCTACGGACAAATCCGCTTCGTGTGTACAATGTTTTGTGCTGTGGGAAAATGCGAGCCTGGAATTTGGCATTTGTATCGACTTGAGGCGGCCTGCAAAGGAGTCTTTGCTTCCAGTTTCGAATGAGACAGGTCAGTGAATTCCACTAGCTATGCTACCTAGTTGTGCTGCCCAGTTGGGAAATCTGCCTTATGCAATGAGGCATTTGGTTTTCCTGCCTATTCCTGCGATTCGAATTGTGGCAACTCGCCGGGCTTTCCACAGGCATTTCGCAAGGCATTTGGTTTCGTTGAGTTCTTAATTGCTAATTGCCCGTTTGCGTCAGACCCAGACCCGTGAACAACAACCTCATCGTTGCATTCAAATTTTCCTGATTAAATGCTTAATGGCAGTGCGACGTGCGGCTTTAATTGCAGCTGAGTACGAGTCCCACATTCGCTGCAGTTCGGTGCGCCTCGGTCCCAGGCCATCCAATGCCATCCAAGCCAATTGCAGTCTGCAATCTTGGCTGCATTTCAATTGTGCAGGGCTCGGATTATTATGCAATCCCAAATCGCTCGAGCTCGCCGATCCACAATGTCATTAACATTGGCCGCCTGCCAATTCGTCTAGCCGATTTCACTTTTTCCAGGCCCAAAACGTGTTTGGCCTTAAGCGAATCGCCATCTGGGTGGCATGGGCATCCATTTGGGTGGTCCAAGCTTGGGAGCGCTACCTTAACCTGCATCTAGAACTATGCATCCTATGACTTGCCATTAAACTGTCCTCGATTGTAGCTAAATTATTATAGTGCTATTATTTTGGCTGCCTTGCATACTTTGTCCTACTTTGACTTGCAATAGTTGTTTCAAGTAACGCGAAGATCGTTAATCGATGCCACTAACTTGGGCTGAGCCTCACTAACTCGCTGAACTATGAGTTACTAAACTAAAACCCCTAATTATGGAATTTTCATAACTAAGCCACACGATCGTTTGGGGGACAAATCCAACCGGTTCGCATCAGTTTGGCCGCCTGCGTTGGCATAATTCGGTTAAATCGGGGGCCGGGATCTGCGATATATATGGTACATATATCTGCGTATATGCAGAAGTACATATGTATGTATATGTATATATACCTCATTTGCTCCCATTGTGGGGCCACAACAAAAGCGGCAAATTTTTGATTTGTCTGTATATAGGGAAATGGGTCTGCACTCAATTGTGTGTGGCATACAATATAATGTGTCCATGTCCACGGTGCGGCTAAGTAGTGTGTTTCTGGCGGGGATTAGGCGACTTGGGCGCACGCACATAACTGATATGGTGATGCTGCTGGATTGTATGCTCGTGATATGCTATGGCATCGTATCACATGGCATCGCATGGTATGGTTTGCTTGGGTTTGGTGTGGCATGGGTATTTCGGATACGATGGCGAGTGCGTGTGGGTTGACTGTACTTTAGTGTAATCATGGTATGGCCATCCCTAGCCCCGTATCCGCGTATCGCACCTATCTGTATGTCTGTAGATCTGTAGATCGCTTCACTTACCCAATAGAATCTCCACGGTTGCCTCGCTCATGTAATCATGGCAATCAAACGTGCGTCCATCCTCCGCACGCAGTTTCCTCACCACATTCCGCGAGTTCTCGTTGAACAGCTCGATGAAGCTCTTCAAGACGTTCAGATGGAATGTGGGTGCGATCAGCTTGCGGTGCGATCGCCACTTTTGACCTGCAACAGTAGAAGGGGCATGGATGTAGCTGCTCTTAGTAGCACCAATGCAGCAGGCGGAGTCATTAATATCACTGAAGTGACCACTAAGCCCTAGTAGTTTAATGCAATTCTTAATTGATTAATTAGCCAAATAATCTGCATAATCATTGCTCTAGCAAATCCAAAATTTGTAATAACATTCACCATTTTATGCGAAATTCGTAAGTCTTGACTTCGAACGAGCAGGCATTTTTTTCCGTGACTTTTCTGCGACGTTGATTTTATTTATAGCGGCATTGTTGTGCCAACTGTCAGGCCAGCGGATCGCTTAATTAATTTATGATTGCGCAAATTGCATTAGTGGCAAGTGGTCACCCCCTGCCCCACACGCAGCCCCTCACCTGTGCTGATCAGCAGTCCGTCGCCCAGCCAGGGCTTGAAGAACTTGTACTCGGAGGCCTTGTCGATGTAGACGTGGCTGCTGAGCAGCAGCTCCACGTCCCGCGGGTCGTAGATGAAGACCACCAGCTTGGGACCGATCCACATCTTGGCTATGTGCTCGAAGGGGGCGCTCTTGCGGATCACTGTTCGGAAAACAGCTGCGGATCGAGGAGGGCAGACAGTTGGTCAGTACACCGACTTGCTTCGGCGGATCGCAAAGGATTAGTAGTGTCCTAGTACATTTAGCTATTCTTACAAATAAAGGGATGTTCTTCAATGGGTTTCTCAGTCTCAGATTGAGAAAGATTATGATAATTATTTTAAGTCAGAAATGATCAAATATTGTGTTGAAATATGACTTTAAAAATATTTGTACTGACACACATTTTTGTTTCGAACCCGTTTGTGGTTATGTTTTCCCAAAGTTTTAAGTTCAAAACTGACTTATTTATTTCAGTAAATCCCCCTTTAATTCAAATAAAATATTTTGATTTGATGTTCTGAGGCAATTAAATCCTGCGTTAGCCCAATTACGCCCATTGTGCAATGATCTTAATCCTTATGACTGATTGGGGTTCAACCCGCTAAAAAGGAACTTAGTCTGATTTACATGAAGCGGGTCCAATCACGTCGAACAGGTGGCCCACGATGGGCAGGCCCCGGGGTCCCGGCAGTCGTCCGGCCAACCTGTACAGGTGGGCCCGCGATAGCCGCCAGTAGATGTACCACAGCACCAGGGTGGGCAGCAGCAGGAAGTAGAAGACGTTGCTGGGCGAGCCCAGGGCGGCGTCCTTCTTCAGCACCTCCATTGCTCGGCGCGGTCCTCTGCCGCTTTCTCTTTCTCCTTCTCGCACGCTCTCGCTTTCCCGCTCGCACACACTCTCCCTCTCTCTCTCTCTCTCTCTCACTCGCTCGCTCTCTTTCTCTTTGGGTCGGCCAACAAGTGTTCACCAGGGCACACCAACTACACCAATTCACCAAAACAAAAAAGAAAACCAATCGATCGGCGCACACACACTTCCCACACAGTACACACGGATCGATCAGCTATCCATGGGCTGGGTTGCGGATCGGATCGGATCGGATAGGATCGAATCGGATCGGATCGGATCGTTGGACCGGATGTTACTCGCTGCTCGGCCAGCGCACAACTGAACGGTGACAGCCCCTCGCCGAGGCATCCAGCGCGAAATGATCACGAGAATCAACCCACACACCCAGTGGATGGTATGGAATCGGATGCGATGCGGTGCGATGGCTAGGGATGGGATGGGTTGGGATGGGACCGGGCCGGACTCGGAATCGGTTGGATATACATATGTATAAATCAGAAACGATGGCACCGCACTCCCACTCCTCGCGCCTCTTTTCCAGCGACTAGACAGCGCCGACGGTGCGACCGACTTTTATAGCCCGCGAAGTGCAGCATGTCTGCACTGGGCGAAAAACCTTGTACCCAGCTCGCAGGCAAATGCATCACGAACACGCATTGACCTCTTTTCCTTGTGCTAAAAGTTGCTTTTCAGTCATTTTGCATTATACTTAAGAACAACTCTTTTTTAATTGTTGTAATTTAGGAGTTCGAAAGTAAGTGGGATACCTTTTGCATTTGTAACGATCTCAGTGCGAAAGGGGGCCGCTTTTCTCGCAGTGTTCGAGTAAATAACTGCGGGCTGGACTCGGTGTGCTCTGTAGAATTGGATCATGTGAATCGGAAGCCAGGTCTTCTCCAAGCTCTCGGTGAAAGTTCCATTCGTCATGAAAAGTGAGCTTCAAATCGAGTGACGAAATTAGTCAAAGCTCTTTGCAGGAAAAGAAATGATTACTCTAAAATGCCATTTCAACATTTATCATAAGTTAAAAACGCCTGCAAGTGGTTGAAGTCTTTTTCCTAGTTTATTTTTAAGATGACATTTATGCATGGTATGGACAAGAGTTGCGACTAAGATTACCCATAACTTAAGCTACCTCATACGGTTAGAAGTCCTCAAAAAAAAAGATTCTCTATTACTATAGATATTAAATCACCTGCCGTGCTTTGCATGTGTGTTTGTGAGTGTTTGTGAGTGTGTGTGTGTGTTTGTGAGTGTTTGAGTGTGAGAGTTGGTTTGAGTTTGTTTGATGTGGCCTCAGTACGTATGAGCAATGTTATTGCCTAGACATTTGACTATATAATAGCTACGAGTATAAGTACGGACACTAACTTATGGAAGTCTGGCAGTGCCACAGTAGCCAGTGGCCACTGTAGCATGTGGTTGACGATCGGCAGCCTAACTACATTTGATATTTCCCTTGATATTTGCTGGTTTTCTGCCTGCTCGCCCAAAACTATGCAGCACTTTCCATCGATGGAAGCACTCGCTGTCTGTCTCCCGATTTATTGTTGCCACAGTTTTAAACGGAGGACTCGTAGATGACGATCTGCAGGACCTTCGGCTTGTTGTTCTGCGCCTCCTTGACCTCCTTCAAAATGGCATTTGTGATGGCTTCCAAGGCGGCGATATCTGGACTGTGATCATTCTTCTTGCTATTCCATTTGGGCATGGACACCTGGCGGTACATTTTCATTCTGTATTATCGCATGTTTGTAATTAATCTTCTGGGCTTCCTTACCGTAAGCACCTTCTGCAGGGCGGTGTAATCGAGACCCGTGCCCGCAGTTTCGCCTAGGCGACGTAAAGTTTCCGCCATGGGACCGGATAGCTCCTGGGGAGTGGGAATGTGGGAAATGTGGCATGTAATTCAGAAAATGAGTGGCCATTTGTAGAACCTTACCTGCAGCTTGGCCCAGCTGGTGGCATACTGCCGCCTCACCAGCTCAATAATGGTCGATGTCAAGGCCAAGCCAATGAGAATATACAATGTGCACAGCAGCATGTAGTTGGGTTTCTCTGCAAAGATTGGTAAGCTGAAGTAATCACACACTTAAGAGCATTTGGAACCTACTTGGCACCAAATCACCGAACCCGATGGTTGTCATGGTGATGAAACAGAAGTAAAAACCGTCGAAGAAAGTCCAATCATCTTCCCACAGCAGGAGCAGGCCAGCTCCAGCGGCCAAGTAAACGCCCAGAAAGCCCACCGCCAAAATGGCGTAGAACCAGGTTTTGCCAATGAAATTGGTAAACTTTGGTTTCGCTAGGGGTTCAAATATTTATTTACAACAGTTTAAATTTAAATATTCATTCAGCTGCAGCGTCTACACACAACTCAAATGAAATGTGCTCAAAAAACCAACGGTGCGCATGAGTAATGCTTTTTAATCCAGCCGCATTCTTATCGCTCATACGCACTGTGCGCTTTTATTTTCACTATGTGTTTATTGTGTTATACCATTAAATTCTCACTTAAATTGGTAATTATTTTGCTTATACCTGTAATATTCAATTCGCATATGGTTACACGAGTATAGTTACTTACTGGGCATGTGCTTGCCAAACACAGAGACTGCGGTAGCAAACAGTCGACCCCAATCGGCAATCACGGTGAGGGTGAACGGGATGCCGATGAGGGCGAAACAAATGCAAAATACCCGACCACCGGTCGTCACTGGCACAATATTGCCATAGCCTGAAAGAATTGAATGTAATTCATTAATTATTCAATATTTCAAATAAATATTTCAATTTTTTGACAAAACATTGGAAATAATGGTCAAAATATGGATTGCCATACCTCGTTGAGTTCGTAATTTAATTCATAATCGAATGGCATTCAAATTTGAAGAACTTATTTTTTGCCATTTTTTGGCAAATTTTGTTGTTCGATTCCTTCGATTTTATCAAAAATGCGAAATTTGGCCCCAAAATGAATTTTCCAAAATCATTCAAAAAGTAATAGGCATAGTTAGCGGTGATAATGATCTGCTTAAAACAGTCATTCGCACATCTTTATGATCATTTTTACCGAAGTTATGATGAAAATTCCCTTTGAAAATATGGAATATTTGCCAAAAGTCGCTTTTCCAAATTTCGGTCATAAAACAATCTGTCTAAATATGGAATGTTATACCTCGTTGAGCTCGTAATTAAATTTCCAACCGAACTGCGTTCAAAAATGGAAACGCTAATTTTTTGACATTTTTTGCAAATTTTGATGATGTTACCCCTTACAAAAAATGCGAAAATTGGCCGAAAAATTAATTTTCCAAAATCCGTCAAAAAGTGATAGGGGTCGTTAGAATTGGTAATTAGCTGCTCAAAACAGTTATTCTTTTTTCTTTACGATCATTTTTAGCCAAGTTATGATTAAAATGCCCATCAAAAATATTTGAATTGTTGCCAAAATCCGTTTTTTCAAATTTCGGTCATAAAATAATCTGTTTTTTAGCCACAACTTCTAAAATAATTGTCTAAATATGGAATGTTATACCTCGTTGAGCTCGTAATTAAATTTTCAATCGAACTGCGTTCAAAAATGGAAACGCTAATTTTTTGCAATTTTTCGCAAATTTTGATGATGTTACCCCTTACAAAAAATGCGAAAATTGACCGAAAAATTAATTTTCCAAAAATCCTTCAAAAAGTGATAGGGGTCGTTAGAATTGGTAATTAGCTGCTCAAAACAGTTATTCTTTTTTCTTTACGATCATTTTTAGCCAAGTTATGATTAAAATGCCCATCAAAAATATTTGAATTGTTGCCAAAATCCGTTTTTTAGAATTTCGGTCATAAAATAATCTGTTTTTTGGCCACAACTTGAAAAATAATTGTCCAAATATGGAATGTTATACCTCGTTGAGCTCGTAATTAAATTTTCAATCGAACTGCGTTCAAAAATGGAAACGCTAATTTTTTGCAATTTTTCGCAAATTTTGATGATGTTACCCCTTACAAAAAATGCGAAAATTGACCGAAAAATTAATTTTCCAAAAATCCTTCAAAAAGTGATAGGGGTCGTTAGAATTGGTAATTAGCTGCTCAAAACAGTTATTCTTTTTTCTTTACGATCATTTTTAGCCAAGTTATGATTAAAATGCCCATCAAAAATATTTGAATTATTGCCAAAATCCGTTTTTTCAAATTTCGGTCATAAAATAATCTGTTTTTTAGCCACAACTTCTAAAATAATTGTCTAAATATGGAATGTTATACCTCGTTGAGCTCGTAATTAAATTTCCAACCGAACTGCGTTCAAAAATGGAAACGCTAATTTTTTGACATTTTTTGCAAATTTTGATGATGTTACCCCTTACAAAAAATGCGAAAATTGGCCGAAAAATTAATTTTCCAAAATCCGTCAAAAAGTGATAGGGGTCGTTAGAATTGGTAATTAGCTGCTCAAAACAGTTATTCTTTTTTCTTTACGATCATTTTTAGCCAAGTTATGATTAAAATGCCCATCAAAAATATTTGAATTGTTGCCAAAATCCGTTTTTTCAAATTTCGGTCATAAAATAATCTGTTTTTTAGCCACAACTTCTAAAATAATTGTCTAAATATGGAATGTTATACCTCGTTGAGCTCGTAATTAAATTTCCAACCGAACTGCGTTCAAAAATGGAAACGCTAATTTTTTGACATTTTTTGCAAATTTTGATGATGTTACCCCTTACAAAAAATGCGAAAATTGGCCGAAAAATTAATTTTCCAAAATCCGTCAAAAAGTGATAGGGGTCGTTAGAATTGGTAATTAGCTGCTCAAAACAGTTATTCTTTTTTCTTTACGATCATTTTTAGCCAAGTTATGATTAAAATGCCCATCAAAAATATTTGAATTTTTGCCAAAATCCGTTTTTTCAAATTTCGGTCATAAAATAATCTGTTTTTTAGCCACAACTTCTAAAATAATTGTCTAAATATGGAATGTTATACCTCGTTGAGCTCGTAATTAAATTTTCAATCGAACTGCGTTCAAAAATGGAAACGCTAATTTTTTGCAATTTTTCGCAAATTTTGATGATGTTACCCCTTACAAAAAATGCGAAAATTGACCGAAAAATTAATTTTCCAAAAATCCTTCAAAAAGTGATAGGGGTCGTTAGAATTGGTAATTAGCTGCTCAAAACAGTTATTCTTTTTTCTTTACGATCATTTTTGGCCAAGTTATGATTAAAATGCCCATCAAAAATATTTGAATTTTTGCCAAAATCCGTTTTTCCAAATTTCGGTCATAAAATAATCTGTTTTTTAGCCACAACTTCAAAAATATTTGTCTAAATATGGAATGTTATACCTCGTTGAGCTCGTAATTAAATTTCCAATCAAACTGCGTCCAAAAATGGAAATGCTAATTTTTTGCAAATTTTGATGATGTTACCCCTTACAAAAAATGCGAAAATTGACCCAAAAATTAATTTTCCCAACTCCATCAAAAAGTGATAGGCTTAGTTAGTATGGGTAGTTAGCTGCACAAAACAGTCGTTCTTTTGGTAGTGCGACCATTTTCAGACACGCTATGGGTTTTTAACCCTTTGAGGTTGCTTTCGTTACGCGACAAATATATTTCATTTATTGCCTGTACCGCTCACCTATGGTGGTTAACACAGTCGATGAGAAGAACACAGCTTGCAGGATGCTCCATCGCTCGTAGGGCTCTGGAAAGTCTTTATCGGCCACGATGAGTAGCCCCCCCTCAGCCGCCTGTTGAACGGCCTGCAAGAAAGGGTTATTATGTAGAAATAAGTGGTAGGTTTGGGGTTTTAGGGGGTGTTCCAACCGCTTCGTATTTGGCCAGCTCGAAGGACAACAGCTCGTCGAGATTGTGCACTTCGGTGTTGTTCAGTATGGTGTGCAGGAAGCGCTCTCTGTTAGTCTTCACGATGTCCTTCAGATGCGAGAGGCGCTCCACCTCCGCAGGACGTTCTAAATGGCGAAATATCTGCGGGAAAATGTGAAAAGTTAGATGAATATCATAATATATCGGTAATAGAATTCACAGCCGCAAGTTGGTGAGTTAATGTTTAAATGTTAAAATGAACGCTTAAAAGTTTACATCATGCTATAGATAAAGAAGATTTGAACGAGTTTTTTTCCCAGCACTCATACAAATGCATTTGAATTCCTATAAGTGCTGAACCTTGACCTGTAACCCTCGCCCCGACGACTAATTATAATGATGAACAATAAGTTAACGATTATTTTTAATGAGCCAAAGAAGAAGAACGAAAAATGGCCATTCACTGGAATGCGAAATGTTATTGTTTGATGTTCTTAAGAGATGGAAAGAAACGTAAATACAACAAAATCCAATCTTCATTCAATTTCTCGCACATCATCGCTGGAAATTTGTTTAACTTGTAGTATGTTGTTTTCGGTATAAAAATAGTTTGTACAAATTGATTTCGAGTTTTATTTTTAACAGCAAATCGAAAGGCGAACCAGCCAGCAAAATGTTTGCGAAAAAAAGAAGAGGAAACCAAATGAATTTGGAAATTCAATTTAAATGTGTCAGACAATTTTTCTTCGCCTCACACAGACACACTGAAAAGAAAATGGGGTAAGAAAGATATATGGGCAGCCTTCAGTGACTCAAAGTGTTTCCATCACTTGTGACTTTGACAGAGTTGCAAATGCTTTGAATTCCTCGCACGTCGCCAATTTGATTAATTGACTTGCTTGTCCTCGTCCTTGTCCTTGTCCCCAGTTGCACATTTCTGCATTTGCCTAATTAATTCCTGTCCCCCGAAATCAATCCGTCGCCCGATTCCCCGACCAATTTAAAGGCGACAAGTTGTCCAACTTCCCAAACATAGATACATAGATACATTTGCGATGGGAGCAAGCGGACAGATCTGTAATTTGGTTTCGCCACATCCGCAGACAGACTAGCAGCTGAAAGTTTGCGTCTGGGTTTATTTCTGTGCTGGCGCATAAATTATAATTATTATTGGACATGGGGTTATCCTGGGCGCTGCTCCTTTGCTCGCCAGACCACTCGGAAAACCGGGCTTCCCCTGAGTTATGATAAGGCGGTTGTGAGGGGTTGGGCTGCATCCTGGGCAGCAGGAGGGAAAAAGGTGACTGGTGCTGGCACTTGGAAATGTATCTACAGAGCTGGATGTGCGCTTATAGGTTTTCCTCTGAGCTACAGATATTTATATAGTTGTTAAAGCTTGTGCTTCCATTTTAAGGCGCCGCATCTACTTACAATAACTAAACCACATAAACAACCCGAAAGTGTTGTACAAAATATGAATTTGGGCTCAGCCCCTATCCAAATTTATGACAAGTGACTCGTTTTGGCCATAAAATCACTGTTTCGCAAAGTGACTTCCTGCACACAACTCTGCGCCACGAGCGGCTTAGTACTTGTCACTTTGTCACCCCACTTTGCACACCATAAATCACACGGAGCGTAGCCAGAGTGCGAATCCCATTCCCCGATTCCCGGAGCCCAAGCCCCTCAGCTCCTGACCCCTGACCATCCAGCCATCATCGTACGTGTGCCGCAATTAACGCACGACATATGGAAATAATGGAGTGGCCCCTTCGGTGCCCGAAATGGCAACCGGAAGTGGACTTCGGAGTACACTCGTACACCACACAAAAATGCAACCGTTAAGTAATTGAAAAAATATTGAAAAAAGTAATGGAAGCATATATCTGCATACCATTTAAGCCATCTATCTGTCATGTAAACTCTATTTATACCAATATACTTTCTATATATAATTTAAGCCACCTAAATATATCCGAAATATAGACCGCACAAAAATGCATCCATTTAATAATTGAAAAATAATCAAAATATGTGAAAGTGAAGGTTTATATTATATAATTCTTGATTCAACTGAAAAACTCTGGTAAATTGGTACGAAATCTATCTACAATTGCATGTATCTGTATGCCATTTAATCCAACTATCTATCATGTAAGCTCTATATATACCATTTAAGCTATCTATATATCCAGATATACTTGAATAGATATCTGTTAAACCAACTAAACATATTTACATATATCTGAAATATTTATTAGGTGAAATAATAATAGATAGTAAAGAACCCCTTTTCTTCCAGCGCTTTTCGGACATTTCGGGAGTGGCATTCCAAGTAGGAGAGGAGCAGCTAATCCAGATGGACAAGACAGTTTCGTAATCCCTGCTCCTTGCTGCTCCTCCTCGTTTTTTAATGCCCAGCGCCAGTGTCCAGTGCGATTCCTCTTCATTACAGAAAAAAAACAGAGCCAAGGAAGGAAAAAGCCATCCAAAATGTTGCTTGGCCGCCTGTATGAGCAAATAAGTAAGGCAATAATGATGTGCGCGCCCATTTAGCGGCGATAACTCATTTCCGCCGCGAGCGCCCCGAAAAGCGGGCTACGGTCAGCAAACAATCCGCAGACTGGACGGCAGACCGAGTGCGGAACAAGGTCACGGAGTGATTCAGTGCACCAGCCATGGAGGAACCCACTGCTTTCAGCCATGGGGTCATGTTTCGGTTCCATTCGGCAGCCGAGCAGAGGGCAGCAAAGATATAGGACCCAATAACTTGGGCTTTACGTGGTAGAACATTACTTAAAGAAATTTTTACAGATCTGGCGGCATTGAAATACATAACATGCGGCAGAGGGTCAAAAACATTGTTAAAAAGCCCAAAATCACGGGATTTATGGCTCTAAATCAAGCGGAGAGCAATTGTAAATGCCCAAATAAACGAAAAAATGCCCAATAGACGGGTTCACTCGACGCACTCTGCGAAATAGCAACAAATCTTAGCCTTGCGTATTTATGATTATTTACCAGAAGCTCACATTATTACGCGCGAAAACCGAAGCAAATGCATAATAAATATAAATTGGTATTATTTATTGAAATTAGTTCCATGGGCGGCAATGACCGCCATTCCCAGGACCCTGACCCAAACGAAGAGGCAGTCCTGCCAAAACGGAAGCGTGTGAAAATGTGGAAAATGCGGAAAATGCGGAAAATGGACCACGGCGTCCGTGGGGCGCCGTTCCTGAGCTTTTGACTTCGCACCAACCTTAAATAATAATCATTTTCCCGCCAAAAACTAAAAAGAAACAAAAAGTGGGAATACCATAAAAAGAGACTTGTTTGTTTATGGTCTGTGTGTGTGTGTGTGTGTGAAAAACAGTTTTCCACATTTTCCGAATCGCCGCGCTGCTGTCGTTCGCGTTTAAATCGGCGGGCGGCTTGTGGATTTTATGAGCTTATGATTTGATACCAAATTAGACATAATTTCCACAAACTTGTTGTTGCACGCATAAATCGCTGCCAGTCCATTAACTTTTGATTATTTATTGAGTGCGCTTCGCTCGTCGCAATAAAACCGAATTGCCCGAGGGCTCTTGGCCCAAGATCTATTGCAAGATTTAACGATCGAACTTGTTGAGTGATTTGATGGCACTGCCAAAATCTGGGCAGCTATTAAAGCAAGTGTATAATGATATAGATATAGATATAGATAGTACCCAGAAGCAGCTCAGAGATGCTGCTCACACGCGAAAAGTGTTGCGATCTATGCTTCCTAGGAAAGTGCAATTTACAGACTGCTTAAAGGCAGTGAAAGGGAGTAGAATCTATTACTTTACAATAATATTGCAAAGCTGGCGCCGTCGGAATCTTCGAGCCGTAATAGCTTGCTGGTAGGCAGCACAATCACAGCACGCGGCACTTGTAGCAGTCGGACTCCCAGGCGGGATTCCCAACCCAATCCGGCAATCCGCATCGTTGACACACGAATGGCCGGAAGAATGGCAAGTGTATAAGCGTTTATGGCTTTTTATTGCCAACGGCACAGCAGCCCGACGAGCACCACCCGCTGTGGGCCACTCCATTCGCACTTTGGCCACTTGACATATTTATGCGTAATTATGATGGCCAAGGCCGAGCGCACCGAAAAATGGCCAGAATTAAAAAAACACTCGTATATACACATGTGAGAAAGAAAGAAGAGCAAGCGACTGAAATCAAATTAAAGCCCAGGGAATGATGGGCTGGAGCCCCACCTGCGGTTAATTAACCAATTCCGGGCACAATGGCCAGTAAGTGCCATTCCTGGAGCGCCGTTTGGATGTCCATTTTATGGTAATGCCATCGCCTGACCCAAATAGCCGCCGCCGTCGGCCAGTGCTCATCCATGGGCTGGGCGTGGTGCTGATTGGGCTCCCAGCGCCGCAGCCAGAGATTGCCATCATCATATCAGCCAGCCACATGGCCAGATGAGCACGTTGCTGATTGCCGGCGACCAGTCGACTGGACAGGAATTGCAAATCAGCGGAAATATAGCGCTCTCTTGGGGCAGAAATACTGCATTGCCAGGTCAGATGGAATATATTGTTAGAGCTGTTTTTAATAAATACAAAAAATATTAAAAGTACTCCTGCAATTTGCCCACTTTGGTTTCAATTCATATTTCCTGAAAATGACCAAGCAAACGGAGTTGTATGAAATCATTTTGAGAACTCCCACACTCTGCAATCACTCGACTCAATCTGTGAGTTGTTTTGGTGAAAAAGAAGAAATCGGAGCAAAGGCGACGCGGCGGAGCCCACACACAACCTTTGACCCCTGCTACCCAGCATGACCCACCCTTTTGCGTGTCCATCAGCACGTGACAAGCCAACGGAGACGTTGAAAAACCCCCAAAAAATAAATAAATAAATCGCAGAGGTGGGTGCTATTTGCCCACATATACACGCTGTGTACACACATTTTATACACTCCACTGTTTCCCATGTTTCCCATGTAAGTTCCGCCTGCGATTTGCGCGCGACTGCGACGCGTTTTTAACCGCGCCGCGTGGTGCGAGTGAGCCAAACGTGGCAGGAAGATTACGTCCGTCGGTTGGCGGCGGAGGTGCTCGGTTGCGTGCCACATGGAAGGGCATTACGCGGGCATGGCGGGGGGCGGGGGGTGGC